CTTGAGGCGACTGAAGACTCTACCCCATGAGGCGCCGGCAGCTCGTAGCAAGCGGTACCAGCTGCGGTTGTCCGTGAAAGGCTCAACCATGGCACGATGATAATCTGCACAGTATTGCCGCTGCTCATCGGTCATATCAGAAGGACTCATGAGGCGAAACTTCGCACACAGGCGTTGATTTGTTACATCCTCCAGATGGTGACCAAAGGGATCATCTGAGCCGACCTCCCAGCGAATGCCTGGTGGGACCTGATCATGTTAGTAGTCTGTCGGTGCAGATAGGGGGCCTCTTACCTGGATGCGAACATGTTTGATATACTTCAGCAATTCAACATTATCTGGACAGGCCAGAAAGCACTCCAGATGGCTAGACATGCCAACGAGAACATGATTCAGGGCCATATCTTGGAACAAATATTCGCGGACCCATTCTCGTAGGCACGAATGCGCCAGATTGGCGCTTTGGAGGTGTCTTTTACATCCTGGATGAAGATGATCGGGATCGGGCGCAAGGTGCGAGACAATGAGACGCCTTAGTTCAGATGGTAGGGTGTTGAGCGTAGGCTCCGGCTTCGGGTCAGGGCCGCTATAGGGGTGGCTATCTTGCCCAGCTGACATCGCTAGGAGTTGTAAGGTGTGAAACAGACTCTCGGGATTTCACTCATGCAGTGGCGGTCTGCCGTGTATTGTACCTGAGCTTGACAAGGCAACAGAATTATGTTTGAGACTTAGTTGCAGCCTGGCCTAGTGCGAATCGTTTGCCCGTGGATACGAGAAGAACAATCAATGATGATTTGCGGTTTGCTCGAGCAACAGACTGAAGAGTACAAGGATTGTCGAATAAGGAAGTGGTGTGGAAGCGTGGAGGATGCTCGGATTGGCCTTAGCGTGGCGTTCAGTCGTCACTTCCCCAGACAGACGCCTCGGCTAATCGCGGTCTACCACTCTGCAATTCCACACCAAACTTGACGTCTTTGTGAACACTCCTATTCACTGAAGAGGCTCTGCTGTCCTTCATATCCACCTTGCTTGAGAGCTTACCCCCTTTGCTCCATCTTGTACAATGCTTCTTTCGCGAGCCAGCACACGGCTGGTCCTCCGTCCGCTGCATCGATGCGCCTATTCCACTGCACAAGCACCAGCTATCAACGTTACCAATGTCCCCGCACCGCACTCTGGAAGCATACGTATACTGTCGCTCAATCGCCCAGCCGCTCGCAATGCGATATCACGGCAGTTGCTCGCAGAGCTGAGCCACCAAGTCAACAGCATACACCACGAAGGAGAAAGGGGCTCGACAAGAGCGTTGATCCTGGCGAGCGATGTAGACTCGAGCTTCTGTGCGGGCGCAGACTTGAAGGAGAGGGCTACGTTTACGCAAGAAGAGTGAGTGCAAGTCAGACTGTCTGAACAAGGCAATGACTGACATAAACTTCAGCACAGCGAACTTCCTCACGTCGTTAAGAGGTACTCTAGCATCAATTGCGCAACTACCCATACCCACAATCTCCGCCCTCGCTGCGCCGGCATTTGGCGGTGGTCTCGAGCTCGCCCTCACAACCCACATGCGCATTTTCGCGTCCACCACGACTGTCGCATTACCTGAGACACGATTGGCGATCATACCTGGTGCAGGAGGAACATATCGCCTGCCAGCACTAATCGGCCTCTCGCGAGCACGCGACATGATTCTCACAGGGCGAAGGGTTGGAGCACCAGAAGCATACTTTCTAGGACTGTGCGACCGCCTCGTAGAAGTCACACAGGAAGAAGCAGGGCAAGAGGGTGCGGCGCGCAAGAAGGTGCTCGGCGAGGCAGTCAAGCTCGCGAGAGAGATCTGTGAAGGTGGACCAATTGCTATCAAGGCGGCAATCGCAGCAGTGGAGGGATGCGCACTGGGCGAAAAGGCAGAGAACGCTGCATACGAGCTTGTTGTCAAGACAAAGGACAGGGACGAAGCGCTCGTCGCGTTTAGAGAGAAGCGGAAACCCGTTTTCAAGGGCGAGTAGAAAGCCTTAAATGCCAAAGTCAGACGTCCCAAAGACTTGATTGTATTTTCCTGGCCCCTTATAGACTTCTCACATCTTCGCCTTAATATCCTCCAACAACTTCGCCAACTGATCCTTATCCGCATTCTTCGTCGGCCATCCAATTCCCAACCCCTCCTCATCATTCGGCTTCGGAATCAAATGGAAATGCACATGATCCACGACCTGATGCGCAATCCTGCCATTGTTCTGCAGGATGTTGTAGTCTTGTATATCCTGCGCGATGGCAATCTTCTTGGTCACGGCGAGGATCTCGGACAGCTGCTCGTCGGGGATGTCGTGCAGTTTTGCGCCGTGGTGTTTGGGAATGATGAGCTGTCGGGAGGAGTTAGTAGGTGGACTGTGGTGGAATTGGGTGCGAGGGGTAAGAGTGTACCGAGTGGCCTTTGCTTAGAGGGCCGATGTCGAGGAATGCGAAGGTCTTGTCGGATTCGAAGATCTTCATGGAGGGAATCTCTCCTGCGCTGCTGTTAGATTACAACGAGACGATCAAGAAGGGAAAGGCGTGTTCATGTACCCCGGATGATCTTGCAGAAGATACACGCGGCTGCCATTGTGGTGCTCAGTATGTAAATGGTCTGGTTCGCTAGTGACGTGATGTTTGGAGTGTCAAGTTACAGGAGCTATGGAGTTGAGCCGAGCTCAAGTTGGTGGGGTGTGGGGTAGCTCTTTCCGCTGCCGGTTCCGCTCGGTGACGTGTGAGCGTCCATAGCAAAGTAACGATCAACTTCGTGATTGCATTGTACCATTGATATTCTTGCAACTGCAGTATAGTTCGGGATTCCTGACCGTGTCATTGTTTCGCCCATTTCCACCCGTCGCACTCGAAGTTGGCGTAGCATCGGAACTCGTTGCTCAAACCCTTTGCATGCATGATCTCGTAGTTACTCGTCTTCGTACCGACTTTGCCATATAGCTTCGAAGTGACTAAGCCTTCCATACGCTCTCCTGTGCAAACGATGAGGCGCAACGAATCTGCTGTCCACGATTTGGCCAGCCATCGAACAGTCAATGCAGCTGCAAAACATTAGCGTCTTCACTGGAGAACGACTGGTGAACGAAAATGTCTGGAGCACACCTTTTGTCTGACAATCTTCGCTCAGAAAAGGTGGGTCACAAATGATATGGTCGTATGCGCCCTTCATCTCGGCTGGTAGCTGAATTGCTTTTTCGAAGTCATACCGGACAAACTCTTTGAAGACTGCAAAGCGCTCATCGAACTCCAATAGTTTGATCTCTGGTCGGCACTTGTATTCTCCAGATGCCTTCTGGACTATCAGTAATTACGACGAAACCGAACAGAGCTTCTTTCTTACCATGAGGTTCTTGAGCTGGATGAATGCACTCGGCGCAGACACGACTGCGATCTTCGTCTCGTCTGTCGCACCGTCGAGCAGTTGCCGGGCAAGGGTTGTTGCGGTCTCATCATTGTACCAGAATTGACTTGCATTCCAGTCTTCTGTGAAGGCTTCCATGGATAGTTTGCCCTCGAAGTCATCTTCGGCCTTGCCCTTTAGTTCCTCAAACTGTTTCAGTCTGGCATCCCGCTCGCCGTAGAATTCTTTCAGTGCGTCCAAGGCACTGCCTGAAAGCTGTCTTCATTGATTAGCAGATGAACTCAATACAAAAGGACTCCACTTACGGCATGTCGTCGTCGTCGTCAACCAGCCCCATCTTGGACTTGAGTTACACTGCTCTGTATGGTGTTCCTGAAAAGTGATAGTCTAGTTCGCAATTTTGAGTCAAGTCGCGCGATCACTATCGATAAGCGACTTGCCTCGGTTCAACGAGGAGAGCACCAGGTAAGAGTGACACCATGCAGGTGTCGCGATGTCTTGCTTACTTCACCTCGCAAAGGTTGTACTCGAAGATGGCTGAAACCTTAGTGCCCCTGCCGAGGATAGAGAAGCTGAGCAGCCGCGTTATTCGAGTGCTTGGAGGCAATCCTAGCAAGGTCAGGTTCGCGGTGCGCTTCCGCAGTGCCAGGTATTAACAAATAAGCAGTTCACCCTGCAAGGCACCAACACATACATTGTCGGCCAAGGCGCAAGAAGGCTTCTTATTGATACTGGTGAGGGCAAGCCAGAATGGATAGCCTCAATCAAGTCAGTATTGGAAGATGAAAACATCACACTCGAAAAGGCGATCTTGACGCACTGGCATCACGATCACATCCAAGGCGTACCCGATCTTCTCGAGCACTCGCCTAAAACCAAGATTTACAAGAACGATCCACATGATGATTGGCTTGACATCAGTGATGGGCAGAAGTTCGGAATCGAAGGCGCGACACTGCGAGCCTTCCACTGTCCAGGCCACACAACGGATCATATGGCGCTGGTGCTCGAGGAAGAGGACGCGATGTTTACAGCCGACAACGTCCTCGGTCAGGGTACAGCTGTGTTCGAAGACCTCGCAGCATACATGAAGAGCCTCGACAGCATGTCCAGGCAATTCAAAGGTCGCGCATATCCTGGTCACGGTCCAGTGATTGAAGACGGCCCTGCAAAGATACTGGAGTACATCAAGCACCGGAAACAGCGCGAGAAGCAAGTTCTGGATGTACTGGCGCAGGACAAAGAGCATGGCTGGACATCAATGGATATTGTCAAGGTGATCTACAAGGACTATCCTGAGAATCTGTGGGAGCCTGCAGAGCGAGGAGTATTGCAGATTCTTGACAAGTTGCAAAAGGAAGGCAAGGTCTCGTACGAGAAGGAGAAAAGGACCTGGGCGTTGAGTCGGAAGTCTAGCCTGTAAAGAACCAATGATACGATGCGCTAACAAAAGCTGCTGAAGCCCGCCTGACTCAATGTGCCCCCCGCTCTAGCCCGCAGCCTCCCCTTGGTGAAATTTCAGCATCATCGTGGCCAGGATAGCGCGGGCGCTCTGTTGATCAAAACAATAAGAATATATGATATCTAGATTTAAAATTTTCTCATGTTCCAAATGGACACCGTGCCAGAGTGGTTAATGGGTTAGACTTGAATCTTCATTCAGTCATCTAATGGCTTCGGCCTCGCGCGTTCGAATCGCGTCGGTGTCGTAACCACACATCCTTGGGAATGTCAATTCTCACGACGATATTGTTTTTTTGAATTCTCCGTGAGATTTGGAAATCTTTGCTTGGTTGTCACTTGGCCCGCTACCTAGCGCCTGCACCACCCTAACCACTCGACAAACCTCAGTCGAGTCAACGAATGTCCACTACGCAAGTCCGGGAGCCATCAGCTGTATCCCACCAAAGACGAAAAGATGTGGCAACGGTAATTGCCCGCCGCTGCACGTACGGAGATGCGCAGGGTCCAGTACTGTCCTTTTGGGGTCCGATCAGGGGACGGAGTGCGTTCATTCGCCCGCGATATTAAGCATGAGTGACATCCATGCAAGTTAATATGGCAACAATACCGCAAGGCTCACTTCTTGACCTCCTTTGCGCATCCTGCGCTCACGAGCTTAATGTATCTTGCTTCTCCAAGCCACAGCTTTCATATCGGAGAGCCGCTTTACATGGGTGTCGCGGTAGCTACCTCGATGGAGCGTGGTACGAGTGGTCACCGAAAAGACGGAAAATGCGTCCTTTGACGTTCTTCACCACCGAAGCTGCGCATCAAGAAGGACTCGTCGCGCAGAAATCGCGTAAAAGGTGGCAGTTGCGTTGCAGATATGAAAGTCACTGTCTTGCTTAGCGGGCTATTAACCGCATGCGCTCAGTCTTGTGAGTGACAGAAGAACCTTCCACTTCTAGGAAAGACATTGACTTTTTTAGTAACATCATCGCCCTCTGGCCTACGATCAAGCTCGAGCTCTTCATTGACTTCGAGCGCTCTGAATTCGACAAGCAGCAGCTCTGGGACATCGACCTTCACACCCTCTTCTTCTAGCTTGTATTCTCAAAGTAGTCCATCGGCTGCGCTATCCTCAATTTCGGCACCATTGAATGTCAGCAGCAGTGCAGCATCGTCTCCAAAGCCCACAGTCTACGTAAACCCCTGGGCGGGCAACTTCTCTGCTCCCATTCCTCAACACGGAACTGGTAGGCATCCTCCACACAAACTGTACTCCAGGACTAAGCCCGTCCAGGTAGCGCATTTGCGCTTCAATGCCAGAATGCATGGTATAGCTTCACCTCGATAAATAGCGACGACCTTAAGGTCAGTGCTGTCCAAGGATATACGACTGAGACGATCAGAAGCACGACGGTCTATGAAATACAGTATGTTACGCTTATCTATTTGCTTCATGGCCCCGCTAAAATACAAAAGCACGTACTATGAGTCCCAGTATTACACACTTTGCGATGGTCACCCAAGAGTAATAACATCGACTCCCACTGCTACCATAACAACGACACTTGCTCCGCTGACCACGACTTATCTTGTCGAGAAGATCGGATGGGACAAATACTCTGATCCGAATTGCACGGTAAATTGGGATGATTGTGAGGGGTTATGGTCGCGATATTCTACGGCAAAAAGCGTATACGACGCAATCTCCTTTGAGAAGGCGAACACGATCGTGTCGCTCGGAAGCGGTGCCAGCTATTGGGTTGTCAATGGAGTTACAACCACATTTCCGACACCCTCGCCAGCGACGATATCCCTTGGCACGGAGGACATTGAAAAATATTATATTAAGGGTCAGTACCTGATTATAACCACACCACCGCCTGGAGGTCTAGTCTGTGCCTGTGGGAAGACAATGACTGCAGGCGGTCCACCTGTAACCATACAGCACACTGTCGATTTCACGAATACACCTTACACGCCGTCATGCCGAACCGCGAGGCCTACGTGTACTCCAGGAGCACAGTGTAAGATCAGTGGTGATGAGGTGGAAATCTTTTGGTTCCCTCCGCAAACAAATGCGACCCGCGATATGTGTGCAACGGCTCCGCCTGGTCCAATCACCTCGCAACCCCCGACCAACTATACTTGGTCCCCCATTAGCACGGGCCCATATGCTATCCTCCCTGGAAACACAACTTGGTTCTCCGGAAATGTGTATGTTTCTCTAAAGGGCATCAATGCGCAGTGCAATTGGAGCGGCACTTCTGTTGAGGTTGGGTCAACCCAGCACGGCAACATCCTGACAATGGCACCATCCGAACTTTACTCCTTGCGTGCAACTTGGGCTCCTTGGCCTGAAAAGGGCAGCACAGTGAGCGGACTCGATTATGGGAACAACTTGTATAGCTTTAACTTCGCGGACCTGGTATCACCTTACCCATGGAGCGCATGGGCTGGATTGGATTACTGCCAAGTGCACCACTGCTCGACCATGGAGGGACCTTATAATCCACGAATTGCGGTGCCGGAAGCCATTCGCCGCCTCGATCCGCGATGGTCAACCTGTGATCTGGACTTGGGAGGCCTGTACGATCCACCGATTGCCCTTAGTACTGTCGGGAATATGTTCGCTACAACCACAGTACCGCCTCAAGGAGGACCAGCTCCTACGCCGGGTCAATCGCCACCACAACAGAACGAGCCGACACATACACCGATTGCACCTGGACAGCCACTGCCATGGCAAAGTGATCCAGCCGATCCCGACAACAGTCCAGGTAATCCTGGGCCACCGCCAAGTCAAGATGAGCCTTTTCCTCCCCAGGAGTCAAATGATCCGCAAGATTCAGGCAATCCATCCGATCCATCGCAGCCAGGCAACCCGAACACAAATCCACAGCCAAATCCACAGCCAAATCCACAGCCAAATCCAGCACCTAGCCCAGGAAATCAAGGCCAAAACCCAGCCCCAATTCAAACACCAAGAGTAACTCCAGCGCCCATCGCAGCACCACCCACACCCACAACGATCGGCTCCATCGGCCCAACCCCCATCATCATTAATCCAACAAATCCATCCCAAATCACCATCGGCACCCTAATCCTCAACCCAGGTGTCCCAGCCCTAACCCTCGGCCCCAACCGCGACACTACAATCTCCCTCCTCGACCCAACACACCTCATCATCAACACACCCGGCGCTCCTTTTGCCACAATCAACCTGCCAAGCCCAGACGCACCAGCACCCTCAGCTGGCGTGATCATCACACTTCCAGGTGGCGAACACATCACCGCGACCGCGATCCTAGGCGAGGATCACAACGGGGGAAAAACGACCAGCGTCCTCGTGTCCGGCACCCTATTCTCACTCGGCAGCGCACCGGTCACGCTCGCGAACGGGCTGGTGTTGAGTCAAGCGCCAGGCGGATCTGGGATTGTGCTTGTCAACACTTCCGACGGACTCACTTCCACGATTCCATTTTCTAGCATTCCGGGTATCGCCAATCCAACCCTTCCAACGCCCGCCTCCGTGGCAAATGCAAACGCACAAATCACCCCCTCACCAACATCAACAGCACTAGTAACAATCAACGGACACATATACACAGCAACGCGTCAAGGGTCGAGCGTGGTTATTCCCGAACTAGGAATTACGCTGAGTCCAAGTGGAACTGGAGTTACACTGGATGGCACAGTGGTGTCGGATGCGGGTGGGACGGGGGTTGTGGTTGGGAGTAGGACGGTTGGGTTTAGTACTGCTGGTGGAGGGGGAGGGGGGACGGGAACTGGGACGGGAAGCGCTAGTGGGAGTGGGACGAAAGCTACGGGTGGTGCGGTAAGAATCGAGGGAGGGAGGTGTATATGGTGGTTGATGGGCATGGTTATGTCAAGCTGCGTAGTGATGATGTGAAGATAGTTTTAGTGCTGTAATGAGTAATGTGTAAATGGCAAGCAATATTAACACCTCGCCGGCATCATTATCATATCGTTAGGATCTTGCAGCATCACATCACACACATCTCATTGGTGATGAAGTAATGTATTGCGTGTCCGCAATATCATTCTTTGATTCTTTCGTTCGTTGACTACATAGATACACTCCATCATTCCATCCCATTCAATTCCATCCCTCTTTTCTCATCCAAGCCATGCATTCCCAGCTCAAGTGAGCCCGCTCCAATGCGTATGCAAAGAACATTAAAACCAACGCCAATTATGCCAATATGTCGTTCTGGGGGCAGCAAGCTGCGCATGCATCGCCAAAAAAAAAAGGGTATGTAATCGTTCGCGTATCCAAATGAAGCGAAGTGAAAAGCCAAGTACGCTCGGCGCCAAAATACAGTCTTGCCAACAAAAATGTCCAATGCTCTCTGATTCTGATCGTCAAGGTCCTTAGTCGTTGTCGGTCAGGCGGTCGAGAACAATGATGCTGAGGATCATGACGAGTAACCCGATGGTTACTATTATCAATAATACGAAGCCGAACCAGCCGAGTACCATGGCTGATGTTCCGACTCCTGACTTGACACTGCCGTTCCCTAAGTCTTGTGCTATTGTCGCGGCGGCTACGGACGCGGTGTGTTGCCATAGCACGGAGACGAGGACGAAGATGGATGCGACGAAGATGAGGGCGAGAGCAACTTGCGAGACAGGTCTTGATGGGAAGGGCTTGACATCGACATCGGATCCTGTGCGCTCGTCGCGCTCCTCGTGCCAGCCAGGGAAGGTTGCAAGGAGGACGAACGTGAAGAAGGCTAGGATGATGGCGACGATGAGGAGGTACGGGAAAACGACGGCGTCTTTGAATGTCGCCGCTACCCACACGAGATTGAGCGGGTCCTGGTCCACAGACAGATTGTCCACTAGCGCTGTGGCGTTATTCGAGCAAATGTAGCCACCGCCGTCTCTGTTGATGCAAATGCCGAAGTATCCGACACGCACACCCAGGTGCGCATTACCAACAATGTTGGCAATCGCTTGCGTGACACCAGGATCGACTTGTTCGGTGGAGTAGGCGGGTGTGTACTTTTCGTACCATAGCGAAATGAGGAAGATGCCTGGGATGAGCGGTGATGTGGACGAGCATCCTGCTAGTAATAGTGCTGCCTGCTGTCAGCCGCTGTATGATGCAATGAATGAGGCGATGGGACTCACATAGTAGAATGATAGCGACAGCTATTAATACCATGAGCACGTGGTGGAAGCCCAGGAACGGTATTAGCCCTAGAAGAATTGTCAGCCTGCATTCCTTCTACCA